CTGCAATAACAATCACAGTCAATGAAAGAGAGGCAGACTCATGCTTACATTCTGCTCATACACATATTACCAGGCTTGGGTAATTTTATGAACCAAGCATGAGATTTGCTCCAGTCTCTTGCTCCAGTCCAGCTATGTCCCTGCCTTGTGCAACTGCAGGACAACCTCCCACCCTCTCTTCTTTTCTGGAAGCATTTAAGGTGATAACTATATGCACTTCTGCACGTATATGTGGCAAGGTTTTGGTACTGAATGGGGTGGGAATGGCCTCCATAAGAAGAGCCCAGCAGCTGTCCCATGGGGGCCAGTTCCAGATGGCTCCAAAAGGGACATGCTGCTGGTCAGAGCTGAGACAGTGAGAAATGATAGCAATGAGAGCACATTTAAGAAAGGGGGAAAAAAACTACCACCACCAACAACAGAAAAACTGCTGCACCATAACAGCTGGGAGAGAGGAGTGAGAAAATGTGAGAGAAACAGTCCTGCAGACAACCGGGTCAGTACAGAAGGAGGGCAGGAGGTGCTCCAGGCATGGAGCAGAAGTTCCCCTGTGGCCTGTGGAGAGGTCCCTGGTGGAGCAGGCTGTCCCCCTGCAGCCCAGGGGTCCCACACAGAGCAGGTCTCCATGCTGCAGCTCATGGAGAACCCCCACAGGAGCAGGCCCTGGGCTGGAGCTGCAGCCTGTGGAGAGGAGCCCAAGCAGGAGTAGGGGTCTGAGGGGAGCTGCCACCCATGGGGGACCCGTGCTGGAGCAGTTTGCTCCTGGGGGATGGACCACATGGTATGGAGTCATGTGGGCACAGCTCTTGAAGAACTGCTGCCTGTGGGAAGCCCCCGCAGGCTCAGTTTGGGAAGGACAGCATCCCGTGGGAGGGACCCACGTGGAGCAGGGGCAGAAAGTGACCATGAAGGAGTGGCAGAGATGAAGCCCTATAGACTGACAGCAGCCCCCATTCCCCGTTTCCCTGAACCACTCAGGGGGAGGAGGTTGAAGAGTGTGGAGGGGAGGGGGGGGGGGGGGGGGGGGGGGGGAGTTGTTTTTGGTTGCTTATTGCTTTTAGTATTCTCACTGCTCTAGTCTGCTAGCAACAGGCAATAAATTACATTAATCTCCCTATGTTGAATGAGTTTTGCCCGTTTTGGTAATTGGTGGGTGATCTCCCTGTCCTTATGTCAAACCTTGAGCCCTGTTCATTGTATTTTCTCCCCCCTTCCTTTTGATGAGGGGGAGAGAGAGAATGGTTGGGGTAAAATTCATCTGTCCAGCACAATGAAATTACCGCATCACTATATGAACCTCTATATGAACTAATTGAGATATCTGATTACAAAATTTTAGCCGTTAGGAATGTCCCAGCCAATAAAGGGTGCCAATGAAAGATAAAGCAGACTTGTACATTGTCTTTGGTCCAGGACCCAACTGAAACTTACTTACTTTTGATAGAGGAAACAAGAATAGCCTAGGAGTCTGGCTTTTTTAGCCCTCCCTGCTAGTCATCTGAGGTAAAGAATAAAGGCTAATTACAATGAGGTTATTTTAGAATCAGGGAGAAGGTCCCTCAGTGCATGTTAACTGTTTGAATTGCCTGTTTGTCAGTCAGTTGTGGTTGACCACATCTAGCTGAGGTTCCAAGTACTGGTTTATAGGTCTACCTGGGCAAATGTATTCCAGCTACTTTAGAAGTAACTGTGGATTATAATCCCTTTATGTCTATTTCTCTATTTCTTATGTCAAGTGTAATGCTTTAGAAGTAGATACATTTTTTAGTTATCCCTCCCCCGTCATGTTTGCTTTGATTAATCAAAGTTGAAAAGTGGACTAATATTGGAAGCTCTTTTAAGTAAAATAGTTCCTATATTAATGAGATCCAGTCCAGTTCAACTTAAAAAAAAAAAAAAAAAAAAATCTTGTTGAGAGGGAAATGTTCTTTCTCATGTTATTAAAATGAATGAGAGCAGTGAGATGATTTTTGATTTTTAAGTGTTTTTTTTTTTTTTTTTTTTTTTTTTTTTTTCCCCAGCCTAATTGAGTTGGGTTTTGTTCATCTATGGTAGGTTATGTTTTCTCATTGTAGAAGCTTTTTCCTGGTAAAATCATTCCCTTCACTAATGAGATCCATCCTGATATGACAGGAAGACAGCTCTTAAAACACCCACCGTTTTCTCCCATTCATTTGAATAGAAGCAAAGGGACATCTTTTAAAGTAATTTTTATCAGTGAGATTGGGCTGAATCTCATTAATAAAGAAATGATTTTACTCAAAAGAGCTTTCACAGTTGAGCTATAACCCAGATTAGTAAGATCTAGCCTGATTATAACTTTATAAGACATTGTACTTCTGCCATTCAAAGCATGCATCAGCTATGTAGAGACCATTGATTCTGTAAAAGCTGTTTTAGAAGGGTGGGCGTGAAAGGTGAGGAAGGTGTCTGGAGGTGTCTTTCTCATCATTTCAATGTATCTTGAACACGGAAAGTGAATTCTTTCCTTTTGTATATTAAGATTGGTTTTCACTATATGTATTTTTATTTTGCAAAGCATAAGAGGCTTGGATAAGTGGAAGTGTGCTAGAACACTGCTGTTTGACTTAACCAGACATTTACATAAGCCCTAGTCAAGTACCCACTTCTCTCTAACTTTGTCTCACAAAAAACAGAACAAGCATATTGCTTGTCAAAGGTCACTCTAAGCAAGAATGTCTGACATTTTTGTTCTAAAATGCATTTTTTTTTTAAATTTCAGCAGGAAAATAAGAAATAATTGATGAATAAGAAAGAAAATTCCCCTCAGCAAAGAGAAGATCCATGGTGAATTGCTGAAACTGTTAGTGGGCTAAATAGTTTTGGCACAACCCCATGGTAGAATTGGAGGTAAAACAGTTTTCTTTTATTTCACAGGGAAAAAAATTAAGCAGTCACCATAGTTTCCTTTCAAAACGTTTGCAGTTTATCAAAAATGATCCTTTGCAAATGAATAAAGGTTCTCTCATAATGTGAGCTTTCATTCCTGTCTCCTTTTTCCTCAAACTATTTTATGACTTTTTTTTTTTTTTTTTTTTTCTGCAGAGGGAAGGCAGAGAGAAAACAGAAGAGGGAGAGAGGCTGAACATACTTTTTTCAAATTTGTTTTCAAATTAAAAAAAAAATAATTGATTTGGATTTGAGATTTTTTTATTAAAAAGGAATATTTGGAGAAAAATATATGGAAGATTTCATTTTTCATTGACAAAAAAAAAAAAAAAAAAAGGAATTAAATATTCCAAGCAGCTGCTATAGCAGGTAAATGTCTGGGAACCACTGTTCATAAGAAGACTCTGAAAAGTTGATGCTTTCCAAGTACAAGACCTTCATCACCAAGACCAGGCATCTGGGCTGTACCACTTTGTTACCTTTGGCACTGTTGATTCAGAGTATTAGACTACTGGGAATATTTGACTTTTATGTTAGGCTGTCTTCGGCATGCAGCTTTGGTGCAGTTGCCTATTTGGACAGCAAGGAGTTTGCATCTCCATAAGAACAATTCACCCAAGCTGGATGCATACTGCAGTTAGTGCAAGTACTGCACATTGAAGGACAGAATTAAGCAGAGTAACAGGGAAACTTAAAGTTGTATTTCAGAGCAATTGTAGAAAGTCACAGAGGTGTGAGTTGTGTGTAAGGTACAAAATAAAACACAAGTTTAAAAAGAATATTCCAATTGTACCTGTGTGAGGAATTATTTTCTTGGCATTATCACACTAAGAACAGAGTTTTGTAATAAAGTAATATTTTGAAATAAAGTCCCCATTTTGTTTCCGCAACATCATAACTCTGATTTTATGACATTTATGTGAATAGCATCATTTTTGCTTCCTAAAGATTTCTGGAGACAGAACACAAAAATTAATAACAGCCTTTCTCAGGGCCAATAGCTTTCTCTATGCAGCCCTCATGGCTTTAGTTTCCCAGGGACTTTCTCTAGAAAGAGCTAAGGACCTGTTTACTTTTGCCTCCTTTCTTGTCCACATGCTTACTTCAGCAGAGAGTTAGTGTGAAAGCATACCATCCCAAACTGGTAGCATTTTTCCCCCATCTACATCTTTGCACAAATACAAATGGCTGAATATGAGTGGAAGGTAAATGAGCACTTTGAAGAAAGGAGCGCAGAAAACTGCTACCAAATTTGACCGAACAGTGTTTTACACCGAACTGGCAGTATCTCTGTGAGATAGCGTGGCATCTTGCCTGAATATTTATGGGCAGCTAACAAACAGTTGAACACTCAGTTGTCCTCAGTGAAGACTGAATAGGTTGCCCTGATACTGAAAAGAAGCAGCATAAAGCTTACTTCTGTTTAGTCTACTGAAAGGCAGATACAAGGGGACAAGATATACCTTACTAGTACAGGATTGCTCACATGCCAAGACACTGCTGTTTCATAGAGAGTCCTTTATATCAACATTTAATTCTCAATAAACTAAGTTGGGACAGACAATGTTGAATATACTCAATAACATCTAGCTTGCAAAAGCCAAACAATCACAACAGAACATCACAACATAGCAGGATGTGGCAAACATGAACAAGGCGTATCAAAAAGAACTGATGATATATAAGTACTTTTCTCACCCTACAGATTGCCAAAAGGAGTTATTTAGCTGTTTTCCTAGAAACAGCTGCATCTAACCTGAGCCACAGGTTCTGCAAACAGCTGCATCAAAATGGACTGTTAAAAATGCCCTACCACTACTAAAGCATAGCACATCATAAAGGAGGGAACCTGGATTATCCTAGTGAAGCCTTAAAAAATATTTTGAGAATACTATATTTGTAGGCACACTCTACATTGAGATACAGCTGCTGTTTGAAAATTTATGTGACTAAAGATGGATGAAAGATCAACTGGCCACACCTGTGAAAGCTTAACCAGAGTGAAGGGAGGAATTGGTCAGTGTGGGATTGAGGTATTAGGTGGTAATAGAGTTTATAGCAGTAAGAGATTGGGGGTAATTTAAGGAAGATATCTTAGTTCAAATGGACTGCATTTGAATAACCATAGGTAGTGGGAGCTCTAGTGTTGTGTAGCAAATCAGCTCTAGGTTCAGGGTTAGTCACTGAATGTCTTACTAGTTGCATAGTAATACTTCTAACATGTGTCTGCTCCAGAAACTGCCATGTTGCATACCTTACGGGAAATGTGGAGTCTTTTGCAGAGGTAAATAGTTTCATTCTCCTGTAGGGAATAGAAAATTACTTTTCTATATTTAGTACTTGCCCCCCATGTCTCCCTCAGCTCCCCCCTTCATCCAGCCCTCACTGTGGCTGAAAGATTAAGCCTGTGAGTCTTTTATGAGTTCATAAAAAAATTAAAAATGACAATAAGATCTAGATGGCTCCGGTTATATGTCTTATGAGCTGTTATTTCTTAGGTGAAGACCTCTGTTCTTTGTAGTTAGTACCCTCAGAGAAATAAGTCATTCCTTCCTGCTCTCAGCTGCACATACCTATGTTCTTTGCAGAAGAGACTAAGAGTAGCTGAGATGTGCTCTGGCAGTTCAGAAACAGAGTTTGACAGAAGCCTGCATAGCACCTGCTTGCTTTATCAGCTCCTCCCTACAGTGCACATGATATTCATTCACGCATTAAAAAGTGAAGTGCAATATTCTGCTGCCTGGTCTTTTTAGACTGCAGTGTCTTTATTCAACTCTCAGACATTGCTGGAATGTGCCAAGCAATGAAATTTCAGTCTTTGAAATGTAGTTATTTGGAGAATTTTTCCTCTTTAGCAAGTTTATCTTATAATAATATTTAGTAATGTCCTATTTAGTATTGTTCCCAGTTTACTTCTATCAGACTTCATTATGAATGCCATGTTGCATCTTAACTCTACTGCCTCTGAAATTCATGTCAATGCCAATATGTGGATATTCTAAATACCAGAATGCATAAGAATCAATTCAGCCAGCACTCCTCTTCTTTCTCCGAATTCGTTGTGTCACCTCCACCTCCAGTGGCCTGTCTTGAAGAGCCCCTAGGTAATTCTTGAATGCATGGCACTGCTGCCCCCAGGCTCCCTGCAATGCAGTTGTGCAAAGTACCCGTTCTTTTGTGTATGTGTGAGAATATTTGTAAGCCAAGCAAGAAGAAAACGCCTGATATTTTCATGAGTGTATAAACATCTGATCCAGAAGGAAGGTTCAGATTTTCCACCTCGTCTTTTTAAAGTGGAAATTTTCAGCTCTGGGCTAAATAGTTATTTTGTTGTGAACCTGCTGCAGGCAGTAATTAGGGGTGGGGGAGCCTTAAAGTCCAGACTTGGGTGAGTATTGTAAAAGGCTGGACTTTACGCTGAAATTTGAATTGTTTTCTGCATGTTAACACAGAACAGCACTGTGACCCTTTGCACTGCCAAAACCCATAAATCCTACAAGGTATTTTTATTCCTGCCTACCTACTTCTCAGCCTGCTAATGTTGCAGTGGCTTATATAGATCTTCTTTCATATAGACAGAAAATAAATGCAGAAAATGTTAAAAAGGGCTTAATGCCTTGCCAGCTATACCCTTCACAATTTTAAATGTTTGTGTAAATAATGGCAGCCATAAATAGGGACACTAAAAAGGAAATAGAATTAGGGTAGGTTACCACAGTCCCAAAGGAGAAAGGTTTTGGGAGGCTTTCATACCTAGATAAAAATCCAGCAACCTTCTCACAATTTTTGAGGTCTACAGATGGTGACAGATGTATGACAGCCAGTGACAGTTGCCTCTGATGAGTTCACAGATCCAACATATCAAGGAAGGGTAAAAAGCAGAAGAAGGAAGGTATGCACTTCCTATTACTTTAGGTATCTCTTATAAAAAATGAAAATATTCCTGTCTCTGTGTTGATTTTCTGAATTCTTTAGGCCCCAATCCCAAGTCAAGACTTTTTAAATACCTTCATGATTTGAATCTTTCTTCATCACAGAAGATGAAGCTACAATAATTACTGATTAGCTTACTCTGTTTATCACCAGTGTTTCCCTCAGTCCAGAAAAAAGAAGTGACTGAGAAGATGATTTCCATTCCCTTCCTCACTTGGACCATCAGTTTTGTTTGTAGCATGTTGAAAGGGAATTTTTAATTTATTTGAGAGAAATTAAAGACCCTGCTTTTTTATAATCCTGATCAAAATAATAATTAACAACTACATGCTTAATGGTAATTAGAAAAGCCATTTAAGGTCTAATGGAGGTTAACAGTTTTTACAGTTTTTATTTTGCTTTGTTTTTATTAATGATTCTAATTTATTCTTCATTTAAATGGTAGCCATTTTTAAGTAGCCTGCTGTTGAAATGGACTTGTAGTAATAAAAAAAAATGGACATGAAATCTTTGGGAAACTTTCATGTATAAATCTATGCTTGTGCTATACAGTTATTCTGGTTATTAATTTATCATATCAGAGGTTTAAAATCTCCAGATGAATTAAGAAAATGTCCCAAGTTATATAATTTCTTCAGCAAGATCTTCTCTCCAATACTTTGTTTACAAATGCAGATGCCATGACAACTTGCAGTATATTTGTTCTAACATTTGAAAGTATGTTGAACTTTTAAAGCTAGCTCACAAAACATTTAGCCAAATTAATTTCTCTAAAAAGTAGTTTGGGAATTATGAAGAAGAGTTCTACAGCTTATACTGGAGGATGTTTACGGACAAGCAGCTACAAGGAACAATTCTTATAAAGAAGCTTCAAGGCAGTTACCACCAATACTATGAGTATATAGTATATGAGTATATGAGTTTATATAAACCATATGGTTTTTATAAACCATAAAAAAATACCAATTAGAGATTCATACTTAAAATGTGGAGCCAAACTTTTATGCAGCTTACCTGAGTCAGAAAAATCTCTAATATTTTCTCTCCACCTACAAAAGTATAATTCAACAGAAAAAAAATAGTGTGTTCCTATTCATACTGTTAGAAATGTAATTCATATTTATTGCATTTATTTATATGATAGTTAGTTTTAAAGAACAATATCATTACACTGGCACAAAAAGCCAAATCTTCAACTGTTGTAAATAATTCCATTGGATTTCAGTGAGTTCCCCTGATTTATGCTAGACTGTAGTGTTTTTCAGACATTCATTAACATTACTGACACTTGTAGAAGCATGAGACAATTCTGTAATGCTCATTGCAATGATTTTAGAACAAAAAAAATAGGACTATTAGAAGTAATGTAAAGGATTTTTTTTATTATTTATTTTATTTTTTTGAGTTACCAATGAGCTATTCTAATAATTCTCATGTGCTTACATGCAGGTTATCAACATGAGGACTGGACATCCTACAATTTTCCAAAATTGTGGCTTGAACAGCACAGCATGGAAAGCAAGTGAAGTGACTGTGCTATAGTCATATATACGTGTATTTTTATTTGATAGTCAAGTTCACCATATGAAGATGAATTAGGAAGAGCTGCAAACAACACAGAGGACACTGACATACTATGAGATAATGAGGAAAGCCTTGGAGCAGTATGGTGACTTCCCTGACCTCATGAGGTCCTTTCAGCCATACTTCCCTTGGATTTGATGAATACGTGGACAGTTGGTATAGAGAAAGGGAAGAAAACAGCTTGAAGGATTTAGTTTGTAAGTATGCAAGCATGGGTGGGAAAAACTGAAGGGATGCAAGACACAGACTCCTGATGGCTCTTGAACAGGAGACATTTATTGCCCTTTTTCACTACTACATATACTTTCCCCGTAGCTCCACGTCTTGTCCACACACCCAAATCTGTCATAACAATTGGTTAGAGACCCTCAGACATGCACTTTGAGCCAGCAATTGGCCTTTGCCCAAAGCTCATCTTTAACACTGTAGCAAATTTTCTTTATCTCAACCTTGCTCAAGTTTTTCTTTCTACTGCTTATTTCCTCATTATCTCTAAGTCAGGGACGTGTGAAACAGCATGGAGCCACCTGCAAATTCCTTTCCCACAAAAAACAATATGAAACAATATGTGTAAGAAATGGAAAAGAGGTCAGAGTAGCAGGACTGAGAAAGCTTGACAACCTCAAAAGTCAGAGCTGAGTTAAAGAAAAAAGGAATATACCATTTGAGTTTGCAAGGTTAAAATACAGGAGAATACCATTCTGAGAACAGTAGAATACCTCCTTCTCCCCTGCCAACAGCTTCCTTCCTCTTCACTGGTGTAATGGGACCTTTCCCTCCATACATTTGTCTCCTCAGCTGCTGTTAGTATGGCCATTATGCAACTAGGAGCAATCTGCCCCATCCATGCTAGTAACCACGTGTCCTAACCCTGCTAGTACATGAAAATACATTGAGTTTCTTTTCCCTCTTAAGTCCATCAAAGTTGGAAGCCTATCCATCTGTATAAGACTTTCTTACTGTTGGGAAGAAAAAATGGCTTTTGAGTTACTTATAATAAAATCAAAATAATTGCTATTCATTTTATGCCTGCATATGCTATTCATTGTGCCCATGAATAAAAAACATTCTAAATCAGCTGGATCTCTCAGTGTCCAGCAAGAATTTAAGCATTAATCCTAAGGTTATTTTATATTGGATAAAACTGGGACAAAACCTAACCAAACCAAAACCAAGCAACCAAACAAAAAGAAATATATTTACTTACCTAGAGCCAGCAGGATGACTAGCTGTGTTGGACATAATTTCCATTTTCCCTCTCTAACCACAAGTTCACATGACTGACATGTTCCTTGTACGTGACATAATAAGGACTATCGTGAAATCTTGTTTACTTTTAGAGGGTAATGTGTGATATCATGGCAATGACAAGCATGAATGAAATGCCAACATTTGGCACTCCTTGGTGAGCAGTGAAAACATTATCAGTGAGAGGTGTCCAGCAGCGTTAAAGAGGAACCGAATCAGGACAAGTTCATGTCTGAGTCAACATCAACTTGATAGAATTGCTGCTTTTGGCAGTTAATGTTGACAATTAGTACAGTGCCCTTATTGTATGTGTGAGGGACTTGAGTTCCTTTAGTGGACACAGAGTATAAAAGCCAAGGAAACAGCTGCTGGGCACATAAATGTCTCATTAGAAAGATATGTATTTAGAAAGATAGATTTGTGTTGCTGGCCTTAATTCCTTGCCTTAAGTGTCTTCTTTCTGATGGTCAGACATAGCAGTGCAACTGAATAAAGGGAAGCATTTTTGACTGGCTAGTGTACATCAGGTCCCATACACATACTGACTGCATTCACGTTACTTGTCACTTGATACAGTTATGAGATCTGAATGATTTTCAGTCACTTCAGTGAAGGCTGTATTTGAAACCTGGTCCCAAAGCCGCAAGGCAAGTGTATTACATACCTGTCAACTAACAAGACTTGCCAAAATGAATCTACTCATATGAACACATGATCATTATTGCTGTTCACACTGTGAAACACTATACACTGTGACAAAAGTAAAAAGCAAGAGGATTATTATGCTAGACAGTCACTTACTAAATATATTTATTGTGGATAAATGAATACTCCTTTTATAACAAAAATGTAAGCTTTTGATAAATTTCTAATATTAAAAAATATGATATGGCCAATTTAGTAAAACTTGACCTTTTCCTCTTGTAAAGAATAAGAAAATATTTACATTTCTTGGATGAACAAAACCTTTGTGCTTAAGACTACTAAATATTCCACACAGCAAGCACAAGTAGAAGCAAATACAGCTAACAATTGGAGGACTCAGGGCATTTTTTTTTTTTTTACTTTCTTAAAAAAAATAAAATACTTAATAATTCATCATATGTAAGTTATAAACTACTTACTAATTAGCAAAACCCTACCATTGTCACACCAGGGGAATGTATAATGTACTGCTTGTATTTTCTAGGTTTGTGTGAGAAGGATGGATCAGTGAGTTGGTGAAGTTGACAAGAAGTTCACTGAAAAAAATAATTGAATCAGCTCCTTGAAATGGAATTTGGAAATGTACTTTCTTATATGAAACTCCCACAGGAGAGAAGAGAATCTAAGGGTATAGAAGAAGATTTAGAAGTTAGTTTCACTGTCAGGTCTAGAAAATTGACTGTCTTCCAGATGTCTTCAGTGACCAAGGACTAAAGAGATGTCAGATTCCTGCTAGCCATGTAAGAGCTTATGAAATAGAGATGAATGTGGCTCTTGCACAATGTTAGTTGATCACCATTCCATCAATTTCACTATGAGCAGAAAAAATGCAAAATGCTTCAGAACACGTCAGACAAAATATTAACCTTTGTGTTTTAAGATCCATACTGCAAACTAACCCTATAGTAGGCACAATTACTTTATCTTCAAAGTACTAATTGACTTCCTGCTATTTCCTTGTACATATTTTATTAATTTGAAGATATTTTCCCTCCCTCAACCACAAAAACTTTATTGAAAATGAATGTTACAACTCATTAAATCTGCTAGACTTCTTTAGTGTAACATCTAGATATTAGTAGCATTTCTCTTTCTTCAAGAATAAAGTAAAAAGAAATCTAGTCATTATTATTGACAAAGATTATAAATAGCTTGGAACAGTCTTGTTTGAATTGCATCTAGCATGAATGGCAACTTCAAAAACATGTACTACTGAATATCTTCAAGAGAAGCCAATGGTTTCTTTGTTAGAATATCAAGTGAATAGCTTAGAAGATAGAATTTACACAGCTTATAAACATAATAAAGTTTTGTGCATATGCAAAAGCTGGAGTGATTTTTGAGTAACTAGTTAAGGATGTAATACAAAATATATAATAAATTAATACTGTTGATCATATCAGTGTTTTGTATTCCCTTTGATGGTAAGAGAAAACCAGCAACTATTCTGATTCAACTCTCTTCTTTAAAAAGAAGGTTGTCTATTTCATGATCACTGATCAACCAAAGCTATCTCAGCCTCCATACTCTTCTCCAATGTTTCCTAGAATATGCTGGCTTCTTCGTGTGAGAAGTAGAATGAACTGGTGAATAATTATCTCATCCTTGTTCTGTCTGGTCTTTCTGTAGTTCTCAACATCATGGGACCCAAATGATTTTTAAAGAAAATTTTCATTGAGTTTAGGCCTTCTTCTAATATAATTAGATGATTAATTTCCAAGTAGTTAGTTGTTGCTGAAATCTTTCCAGTTCACTCAACTGTGTTGTCTAATTTTTATGTTAAGCTAATCAAAGGTGCTGACAAACACACCAGACAGGGAGCTATCAAGGTTAAACAACTAATAGTCCTTCATTTTATTTTATGTAAGACTTGGATTTTAGTGTCATACCTTTCCATATCATCAAGTGATATAAGTATTTGGATAAAGAAGTGATTATAACACCATTGGAGAACATAGAATGGGAACCTTGTTCATCTGTTTAGGCTCTGTAGTGATGGTAATGAGATATAAGCTGTAACCTTCTTATCTCACATCATGCTGAAACTATAAAAGGCAACAACAACAACAACCAACCAAACAAACAAACAAATAAATGGAAAAAGTCAAGCACATGCACACAAAAAGACCCAACAGAGTTAGAACCTTACAGTCCAGAATTTAATTTGTCATGGGTGTGTATAAATTAGTTAATTAATTATTTGCCTCAGCTACAGAAATTTTTTTCACTCACTGTATTAGACTGTTACATTGCCTGTGTGAGAGGATGTTACTCTGGGTCCAAAACACTATCAAAATATCTTTTTAAAAGCTTTTTATTAAAAAACAACCAACCAAACACACAAAACCACCTCAACCCCAATTCAAAACCGTTCAGTGTTTATTATAGTGTGTTCAAATCTCCTTAAAGAGTTGACTAAATGTAATTTTACTTTTGCTTATCATATAGAAAAAAAGGGCAGCTGACTGACAAGACCCCTTTCTTACTTATTAAAATTGATGAAAAACATATCTATATAGTACAGATGAGCAAAAGCCCCCACAAATTTTAAGATACTGATTTATTATATACAAATAGATGACTGATTACTGTTGTCATAAGAGATCTGTACACTGATCCAAACTAATGAGTATGTAAAGAAGATTCCCATTGTATCTTCCAGAGGTGAAATACCAGTTTGTTTTTAGGGCTGCGGCTGGTGGGAGAGGAGGGGAATGGGGTTACAATTAGCTGTTGTTTACCATTGATTTTTTTTTTTCTCTTAATCTTTATAAATATCTCAGAGACTTCTTTTTGTCCATTTGCATTTGCACCTCTGAATAACTATATTTAGTATTAGTGAATTTTGTGTTAAAATAGATTTAAAGCTTTTATAAATAAACATCTCTAAAACTTCAAAATCTCAGCATCTATACATTGCATTAGACAGGTCTGTGAAGGGGGAGAGAGAAATAGTATAACTAATAAATGATTTAAGAATGTGAAATGATTTTAAATTGCTCCAGTCAACAAGGAAAGCAGGCATTTTTCCCAGCGTATCTATCACATAAGTATTGTAGATTTCTCTTACTTCTACCAGCAGCTTCTTTTAGTCAGCCTGCTATCAATATATTGCTTTTGTTTGTGACACAATAGGCTTTCCACTGTAATTTAGCAGGTTTTACTGCCAAAGAGAAATCCTATGTGTTCTTTCTCTCTCCATATATACACAATCACTATGAGGAAGGCTTTTACTTATTGTTTTTGTTGTTGTCATTTTTGTTCTGTTTTGTTTTAATTTCACATTTACTAATAATATGCTTTTCAGAAAATGCAGGTGCTTTTACAACATCATACAAGTGGTGTGTTTTGAAGGAGCAATACGTAGCTTGTTGCCCTTTGATGTAAATTTGTGAAGAAGATAGATTATAGCATCAAGACGTTTCTCTGTGCATAATAAACCACTGAGGACAAAGTTCATGGCTGAGAATTGTGTAGGATACAAGTGACTACCTTCACGACAATCAATTATTAGGATGATTATATTGTGTCTGAAGAATATGATGCTAATGACTAGCTAACACTTAGAAGAGACACTCTTGACTTGAAAACCAATGACAGTTAAATGCAGCAAGGGGAAAGGCCTATATGTTGAGCTAGCAGCTCTCTAGTGTTGATAATAAATAATTAAAAATAACAATCTTTATGTGTGGCTTGACAGTATACATATCCTTTAAGTATATTCTGCTTTGTAAGGAACTTCGCACAATGACAGCCTAAGAAAGGTATACTAGTGCATCCCACACAAAAAAAAACTGCACAGGAAAGCAGGGAGTTAAACACCCTTGCTGTTGGGAGGGCCTAAGCAGGATTAGCTATGTACTTATTGCTAACCTTCTACTCCCCTGTATTCCAAACAAATAAATAATTGAAACCCATTACCTCTTTTAGGGGTTTGCTCACATGCTTTCTATATTCACATCAAAGCAGAGATCAGTGTCAAAGAGGCAGCCACATTTAGCTGAGTCTCTCAGAGACTACTGATTAATTAGTTTTGCATTTTGGAAGTGAATCCAAAGATGTTGTAAATAGTGTTTGTTTTTGCTATTGCCAAAACTTGTTTAGGAGAGCTCTGGAGGGTGACGGTGATGTACTCAAGATGGTTGTAAAAGAAAAGGGCAATCAGTTCAGGTGTGCATGTGCCAACATTCCCCCCGCCCTCCCCCCTCCCCCCCCTCTTAGGTTTCTGCATGATTTTTAAGAGGACTGCCTAAATGAAATGCACACTGGTATCAATAGAAGGGAAAGGATGGGGTGGAAATGGAAGTCCCAACATTTCCCTTTACCAACCCAGTGTAAAATGGAAGTTACACCAAGACTGACAATTCAGTTCTTAAAGAAAAAATGAAATACTGCCTTAGATAAGGGAGATGTAGGGGCTGCAAATTCTGTTTAAAATGTTGCCTTTCAAAAAGTTATTAGGGCTCGTTTTTTGTGTGACTCTTTTTTTTTAAAGTTTTTATTTTTAACTGAAGTGTGGTGATATGATGTATGGGGGGTACTCAGTTATGGCAAATATTGCCTACAAAACTGTGTTCATACTGTTATTTGCCTTTCTGTCTCTGTCTATATCAACTCCACATGCTGCTCTGGTGGCCTGCTTTGTACTTAATATAACTTGTCAAAACACATCTATCAGATATATGAAAAGGCAAACCTGGGTGGCCAGACTAGTCCAAGCCTGGCGTGGATTGCATTTTACCAAGACCACAGAAATCTCTTCTCCTCCATGAGATTAAGATGAAAAGCAGAGTTCATTGTTGTGCAACCAGATTTTAAAATAATTACACATACGCTAGTACATTAGTAGGCCATTTGTGTTTATTTGAATCCCACATACTGTACTTTTATGTGGATTTTAAGTGATTTTTAAAGCTGTCAGTACAGAAAAAAAATAATAAAAGTAATGTTACCACTTGTTTTAGGTTGCCTTATTATTATTACATTTTTTTTTTTTTTTTCCAATCCCTTCCTTTATTTGCTTCATGCTGAGCTGCTACCATCCCAGTACCTTATCTCTGTCCAGGAAAGGTGGGGTATGTGGTTCCCTTTGGCTATTGACAGACATCTGTCTCTCCTTTGAACCATGACCAATGCCACCAGAATACCTTACATCTATGATATGCTCAGTATTCACTCTCTAATTGCCTGGGAGCTCGTGCTATGTGATACAGAATGGAACATAATTTTCAATACGGAGTGGAACTCACTTGTTGATCCAGTGATATCTCCTTCAGCTCTCACATGTATATTGCTCTGCAACATGTAAATATGCTTGATTGTTGCTCCAGCAAATTAACTGATTTTATAGATTTTCCTTCAAATGTCAATACTAAAATATTTGTAGGGAAATTAAGAGTTGCAAAAACATTAAAACCCTGCACCACATAAAGCTCCATTTGCAGCATGTTTATGCTTACCTTCCCAGTGCACAGGTGGAACAAACTGTTTCAAACATGACTTTCTGAAGAAAATTTTGCTAGGATTTCTCAAAGGAGTCCCAAATCCTATTGAATTTATGGGCTGAAAATCACTTCCTCTCCAACCAAGGTATGCAATCATTCTATAAAATTGTTGCAGCCTGGGATCTCCTCAGAAGTGCAAAATGTGCAAAAGAATGACCATGAAAATATATTAACATTTTTATCCTGTTTGAGCAGCTATTACACTTGCATTCAAAGAAATGCCTGAAGCACAACTATTCCAGCACAGCTAGAATCCTTACAGTCTTAGCTTTCCGCAGTGTTTATAGGTTACTTCTCAGTCTGCAGAGTGAAAATCATTGAAAAACACAAGTTTCTTTAAGAAAGATAACCCTTACCTGCCAGGTAGATATATACTGAGTTTCTAGCTGCTGGAGGGAGAGGGGTCTCCAGGAGCAATGCAGTATCCATCAGTGCTTCAGAATAGCTCCACATTCTCTTGGCTCACTGGGTGGCTTCAAGTTGGTTGTGAAGTTAGGGATTATCATTGAGTGCTCTGTAGTTGTGTAAGGGGGGAGAAGAAAGGAAATTGGAGGCATCCTGCCAATATCCTTAGTGCTTATATGCTAACCCCACTGGAGGACAGCAACGTGAGTGAACTGCTTAGGAATGGCTTGCTGGATGTCATTACAGTAACACCACAAACAGGAAAACTGACACAGAGAGGTAACATTTTTAAGCTTAGTGGAGACATAATAAAGTGGAGTTGTGTTGGCTGTGCTGGCACTGAGAGAGTCAGCAGCAATCATCTTTCTTCTAATAACCAAATGTGCTGAACACGAGCTGGTTATTGCAAACACAATTATTCAGTAATTGGATAAGCTTAAAA